TTCTCTCCTTGGATCCTCGATTTGACTTTACAACATATGCAATACAAGTATGCTATCATGTTTATCCCTACCTAAAGCTCCACATAAACCTTTTTAGAAGTAGGAGAAAACAATATAAGGTAAAAAATTGCTATGCCTTGGTGAGGATTTATACACCATTGAGTGATTTGAGAGTGCCATTTGAGGAGTACAAAGTAAACTATACTTTTCTTGAGAAAAACTTTGAAAACTCCAAGTTGCAATTGCTAAGATGTGAAATTTGGAAGATGACTTTATTTCAAGAACTGTTCCACATTTCAACAACCCAAGAAAACATGTTAGCTAATGCCACAAATCCCACTTGTGTAAAGAATATGTTGGAATAATTTTCATATAAGCCATATATCTTAGGATGTTATACTCATGATTACTTTTATCTATAAGCTTTGCTCGAGGACGAGCAAAGGAGTAAGTGTGGGGGAGCTTGTTGGTGGTCCTTAACTCACTTTTATAACCACCAACACTGGCAAAAAATCCTAGCACACAGACACCAAACTTAGAAATAGGGCTTTAAAACTAATAACTTCCATGAGTTTTGGTGTTTGACCGTTTGCAGGAGCGCATTTGTGGAAATGCACATAAAAGGGCTAAGAATTTGCAGAGGAGCAAAGTACAAACACCATTTTATGCAAGCCCTAAGGAGAGAGGCCCAAACACTAGAAGAATCAGGGCCTAAACGAGTGGAGGACAAGCCCATAACCGAGGCAAACCACTTCAACTCTGCGCCAAACCATCATGGGCCAAGTCACAAACCTCACTAGAGTTCACCCATTGAAGATGGGGGCGATTGGGCCTAGCCAGGTTGCGATTGCACCCTAGGTGCGCCCGCACACCTAGCTGGCCCAACTGGACCCATCTCGCATGGGCTGCAACTTACAGACATTCTAAAGGCGGTTGCAGTAGTTTGGTCTAGGTTCATTGCACCTAAATGTGTGTTTGCCCACATTATGTGAGGATAAAGGAATATTCTAGGGACAAATCCCCTCCTCTCCACCTATAAAAGGAGGCCTCCCCTCACTCGAAGAGAAGAACATACCAAGGAAGCAAGAACAAGAGCAAAGAGCATCACTCCAAGGGCTTAGGCCCTAGTTAGCTCGAGAAAAGTAGTAGGGAGAGTTCAGGGAAGTGCTGGACCTATCGGTGTCTTCCCCCGCTTGTACCTCGATGAACACCTGTACCTCAACGGAGTCTTCCGCTAAGTGAGTGTTCGTGTTTCTTATGGAATTAAGTCTTTTGTTTAGCTAAGCTTTACTCCTATTTGCTTGCGGGTTCATCGTCCACTCTCGTAGCAGATACTCTAGTAGAGGGATCCTGATAGAGATGGATAACCCTTTACAACGCTAGAGTAGTAGTCGATAGCATAGATATGGTGTCTAGGCTAGAGGACACCTTTGTTTGCCTCGTTCCCCATGGTTGAGGGGTAGGTGGCAGATGGTGACAACCCTGTCCGTCCTTTGTAATCCCTCACGTTCGGGTGCGGCATAGAGCCACATGCCGGTATCGCCTGACAGACCAGGTGCGCTCCGATGCCCGAAGTAAGCAAGTAGAAGTAGAGTTTAACTATCCATAGACTCTAAAACCATATGAATCCATCTCAACCTCTACCAACTCTACCCTAGTGTTGTCCTTGGATGAACTAGCTAGAAGAGTACCTCCGTTCCCTATGGAAAATACGATACCCTGAATACTTCCGGGTGAAATGCTACAACGGGAATTCCATGTGCTTGCGGATTATTTCTGTTTGCGTTAATAAATACCAACACCCTCCTTCGACATGAAGTATCCACCGCCTTTGAGGATAAATCTCTACTGTGCTTCCATAGTGGTTCGAATCAATCTCCACCGTGCTTCCAAGCCACATACAAAGGATCACAAAAATTTGTAGGACCAAAAGCAAGCCCAACCAATAATAAATACCAAAATCACAAATTCAAAATTTTTCAAGCACACAAATGATATTGGTTGTGGGAGATTGTAAGAAAATGGAAAAATTCCATTTTTGGGAGATGGTCCAAGAAACGGAGGAAGAGGATTATGGAGTAAGGGGGAGGCTTAAGTCCATAATACCACACAAAGGGACATTGGCAAGGGCAAGATAAGTATTACTTGTGTTTCCAAGTAATATCTTTTTAGCATCATATGATTTTGCCTTTGCATTGCGTCCTATCAAGTAGATTGCATTTTTAATTTCTGTATCTAGTATTTGCTTGCTTTGGTTGTGTTGTCATCAAGCACCAAAAAGGGGGAGATTGTAAGGAAAATGTACCCCATGAGTCATTTAGTTTGGATTTTGGTGTTTGATGATCAACAAGACCAAGTTGAACTAATATGTTTGCAAGTGTCTTTGATGTAGTTCAATAGGATGCAGGGCATACTTGGATTGAATTGGAACATGAAGAAGTTAATCAACATCTAAAGGAAGAATCAAGAAGATGTGTTGATGACCCACAAATGAAGACAAGGATCCAAGATGCAAAGAAGAAGAAGAAGCCCGGACGATCAACGGAGAATATAGCGTGAAGAAAGGCTACCTATCTCACGGTTGGACCGGCCCCTAGGGTGGTCGGACAGTGAGCATCGGATTGAGCCAAGCAGTGGCGTCGGGCGGTTCGAGCTGTGAGCAGCACGCCCACTGAAGGTGGGACCGCTAGAGATGGTGGTTGGACTGCCAGCAGATCAAGCACACGGGAAAACGGGTGGATTCAAAATATGGGCCAATGTACCATCCGACGGTACTCGTCGGCCCAGTCTAATGGCCCAAGCGCCATGCGTACCTCTGTGTACGCCACGGTCGGACTACCAGAGGGCACGGTCGGACTACTAGAGGGCACGGTCGGTGGGGCCAGGAATGACAGGCGACCGTTAGGGCGCAACAGCTGACTGTTGGCACGGCTCACGATCGGACGGTCCGGTGTGGCGGTCAGACCGCCAGCTGCCTGCGCAGGCAGCAAGAGCGCAAGGGCTCTATTGTGTGGGGGGAGTTATAAATACCCCCCAACCGGCCCAAAGGAGCATGGAGGAGTTGGTAAACATACCAAGGGTGTTGATACACCATTTTAGAGCTCTCCACTTGCATAGTGCTTAGTGATACACATGGTGATTAGTGTAGGTGCTTTGTGAAGTGCTTAGGCTAGTTAGACCACCTTTTATGTGCTTGCTCTAGGTTTAGGCCTAGTGTTTCGTGAGGTTTGCATACCTCTTGCAATTAGGTGCTTGCGCGCAGCGTTGTTGTACACTGGAGGGGCTTGTAGTATTGCGAGACCACACCAACTGCGTTTGTGGTGTGGCCGCCACCGTGTACCAGATCGAACGAGACCCACGGTGGTTTGGCCGGAAGACGGCGGGGAGCTGTTCGAGAGAGGACATCTCGGAGACCCACTTACACGTGGGGAAAGGTCCGAGGCTATCCACGGAGTTACCTGACCAGGAGCTTGGCCCTTGCAAGGACATCCTTGCAAGGCGCTCCAACGAGGATTAGGGGGAAGCGAGGAGGTTCTCGATACCTCGGTAAAAATACCGGAGTTGTCGACGGGAGTTTGCATCTCTACCGCACTTTAGCTTCCGCATTTATAGTATATACCTTGGTTGTGTGCTTAACTTCCTAGCTTAGTTTGATAGGATAGTTGATAGGATTAGAATCTAGGTTGCATAACTCTTTTAAGGTAGAGACAACAATACATCTAGCAAAATCTTAGTTGCACATCTAGATAGTTTATTTTTTACATAGGTTTTGACTAGAAGAAAATTAGAGGCCGTAGTTAGAAGTAGTTTTTAAGTTGCCTAATTCACCCACCCTCTTAGGTGTCATGGTCCCTTCACTGATACTCCCTTTACTTTCTAGGAGATATCTCAAACAAATCTGAGCCATTGATTTTTTAGATTTTTAAATTAATTGATTGATTAATTAGTATAGGAAGAGAAAAAAAATATTCCTAAATTCCCTCATCACGGGAGAACAGAAGTAGACGTGCACGCCTTTCATTGTTGGCACAGACCCTTCCTTTCCATGTATGCATTTGGGAATATCACGGGCGATTTAGGAAGGAAAGTCACATGCATAAAAAAAGATCAGCAGTTTATGGTAATCAAATTATGTCATATTCACTGTAGCAAAATAAAAGGATTTATCACATCCAATAGATCATGCATGCATCAATTAGATCTAGAAAAAAGCTATTTATATCTAAACTTTCCTTACTTATCATATTTTATAAAATTAATAATTAAATAAATATATATTTCATCTATTACCTCCTAAAAAGTAATAGATGATCCTAACCATCCGATTCTAATTAAATGAATGAATCATAGTTATTTAGGAGTACCACAACAAAGCTTATAGCTGAAAATGGAGAATGACCTTAGCTTGATTAAAAGAAAAAGAAAAAGAAAAAGAAAAAAAAAAGAAAACCTATCTCACTGTTACGGTGTTACCTAATAGCAGATGAGATCAGACTACATCCAGCAAGGAGTACAAGTGTACAATGGAGTATTCAGCACTAGTGCACAAGCTAAGGGTAACATCGTGAGTGACAAACTGACATCAATTAATAAAAAGCTCGTGCGAGATGCCTTGGACCAGACACATGAGAGCTGAGCCCCACTCCCTCACTCTTTGGCAGCACATACCTTCCCTCCTCTACTTGTTCCCTCACCAACACTCCATGCATCCAGCTGCCTCTTCTTAATTCACCAGCAGCACTCCATATATGCCTTCTCTCCTTCGCCTTCGCCTTCCTCATCCACACTCCATCCTTTCCTTCTCTCTTTTCATTCTTCCGATCCCTTATATACATAGATATTCAACCGATCGAGGCAGCTTCCATCCTCAGGGGCATGCATGCAGGACGACGGGCTCTGCATCGTTTAGCTGGGGCAGCAGCGCCGCCTGCATCTTCTTCCACCTTGGACGAGTGCGCGCGTGAGAACAGCGGCAGAAAGCAAGCGCAAGTCTCTGCAACATGCCGTATTATTATAATTATTGGTACAGAGGTGCGCCAAGGCATCATACTTTTATTTCTTTCAACAAATCAATCCCATCTCCCTGTGTGCAGTGCAGCGTGCTACCATGCATATCTCTCTTCACTAATTAGTAATTATTACTCCCTTTTCTAAAACATACACTGCAGAATATCTTGACCAATATTATAGGGCACAGCGGCTAGAGCAAGAGAAGTCCAGACTGTACAACGAGAAGCGTCAACTGGAGAGGCAACTGGCGGAGAAGACGAGGGATGCTCAGATGTCCTCGACCCAGGTCTTCACACTGGGGCACAAGGTGCGAGAGCTGGAGCGCCAAAACACCGGACTGTCCGGTGAACTGGCCAAGCAAAGGGAGGACACCCGGAAGGCAGGCCTGCTGTTCATGAATGCTGCCGATAGGTACCAAGAGGAAGCCAAGAAGCAAATTAGGGCAAAGGTAGAGGAATTGGCGAACACGAGGAAGGCAGGCCTGATGCTAATGGACACCGCCGATACTTACCAAGCAGCGGCAAGGAAGCAAATTAAGGAGAAGGCAGAGGAGCTGGAGGACGCAAGGAAGGCGGTTCTGGCGCTCATGAAAGCAGCCGATGCGTACCAACAAGAAGCGAAGAAGCAAATCAGGGACAAGGTGGAGGAGTTGAAGGTTATGGGGGCCCAGAAGGCGGAGCTGGATGCAAGGGTAGAATCTTTGGAGTCGAGCCTCAAGGCAGCTCTGGCAAAGAACCTGGAGTTGGAGGATGATTATGGTAAGGTGAAGGCTGAAAATGATAAGCTTCGGTTGGAGGTTGAGAGGTTCATGATGGAATTAGGTGCATTGGCGGAGGAGAAAGATGCAGCTGCAAAGGCATTTGATGCTGAGAAGGAAGAAATCTTGACGGAATTGGAGCACCTTAAGATGAAGGTGGAGGTAACTCAAGCCAACAAGGATTTGATGGAGGGTGAAAATGATAAGCTTCAGTTGGACGCTTTCACAGGAATATAGCATGCTGGAAAGCAGGGGCTGAGATGCTCAACATGTAATTAGGTACATTGCCTCAGGCGAAGGATGTAGAAATCATGAGAAAATAAGGATGCCTCAAGAGGGAAACCGAAGGACTTCCGAGCCATCAAGCATTTGGTGAAGGGTAAAAGTACTATAAAAATACTAAAAAAATTGGTGTTGGAAATGGGCTTACATTTGATAACTAAACGTGAGTTTGCTTATCAATATACACCGAGCACATTTATCTATATTATTAGATATGCATGGTTCTCTGAGTCGTGTAACACACTAGTAGAGAACAGACCTTTGATCCTCGGTCAAAATAGGCTCTAGTCCCAGAATTTTTTGCGCCCGGGACTAGAAATACCTTTAGTCCCGGTTGGAGACAGGTCAAAATGGGCTCTAGTCCCGGAATTTTTTGCGTCCGGAACTAGAAATACCTTTAGTCCCGGTTGGTGTCTCCAACCGGGACTAAATGTCCCTGCCCAACGGCTACTGCGCCAGACAGAGGTGGCAGGGACCTTTAGTCCCGGTTGGAGCCACCAATCGAGACTAAAGGTATACTTTTACTCCCGGTTGGTGGCTCCAACCGGGAGTAAAGGTCTACTCCCGGGCCGTGGCTGCGCCCGGGGTTGGAAAGTTACCTTTAGTCCCGGTTGGAGCCACCAACCGGGACTAAAGGTCCCCCCTTTATATCCCGGCCGTCTCCTTCTTCCTCCCCGAGCCCGAGCTCAGCACATTTTGAAGCTCACTGCACTAGTGTTCTTGCTTCCTCCCTCCCTCCATTGTTCCTCCATCCATTCTTTGATTCCTCCGTCGATTTCTTCGATTCCTCCGTCGATTCTTCAGTTGTAAAGGTTACCAATCTCATACTCTCATTTTTCACCATTGTCTTATCTCATTTTGTTCACTATATATATATATATATATATGGTTCTTTATTGTGGTTTTTTTCATTTGTAAGCAATTTGAGCTCAAAATCACTTCAAGCTTGCATATTTACATGAAAGAAGGTTAAAGTAGCTAGTTGAACTTGCGGACCGTGTTCATCTCGGTGAGCATGTTCTCTGCCGAGCGGAAATGGACGTCAAGGAGGAGCTTTGATTCTACGAGGGAGAGCGGCAACGGTCGTGGAAGACCGTGTTCCCTTCCTCGTAGAATCGGAGCTCTTCCGTGGCCAAGTACGGTGCCGTCCGGTGGAGAAATGCTCGCCGAGATGATCACGTAAGTAAGTTCAACTAGTATGGATGGTTATTTATTCATATGTCCCGATATCGTCGCAGTAGTCTGTCAATCACCGTACCCAAACGTAGTATATATATAAATATAAACTTAGAAAATAGTTAGAAAATTATAGAAAATCCGTACTAGTTGAACTTGCAGACCGTGTTCATCTCGGCGAGCATGTTCTCTGCCGAGCGGTAACGGACGTCAAGGAGGAGATTTGATTCTACGAGGGAAAGCGGCAACGGTCGTGGAAGACCGTGTTCCCTTCCTCGTAGAATCAGAGCTCTTCCTTGACCAAGTACGGTGCCGTCCGGTAGAGAAATGCTCGCCGAGATGATCACGTAAGCAAGGTCAACTAGTACGGATGGTTATTTATTCACACGTCCTGATATTGTCGCAGTAGTCTGTTATGTGTGTACACTCCCATTCTTCTATTAATTTGTGGAAATATCATGTGAATTACTTACCTGCCGCAGTAAAAGACGAGAACACAATGACCATTAAAAATATCATTGTTTAGAGATCTAGATAATTTTATAGTTTCTTAATTTTATTTGTTTATAAAAAGAGAAATTTATAGTGTATTAAAAAATGAGTATAGAGAGTAGATGGCAACTGCTTCCGGGTCCTCGGCCTCTCATGGGTTTCCAAAGCGACTTCGGCCGGGCCTCCCTCTCATTCCATGCGGCAAGTGTCGTGATGAGACGAAGATTGTGATGGAGTACCGAGTGAAGAAGGAGGGTCCCAACAAGGATCGTATCTTCTACAAGTGTCCGGATCGCAATATGAGTTATTTTATCGTATTTAATGATTATGGTTAGTTTATACCTATTTTCATGATGGTTGTGATTAAAGTTCTAATTTTTTGTTTTAATTTCAGTGGGATGGCAGTGGACGATGTTCAGGCTTCTACTGGGAGGAAGAGTATGTTGAACTCGTGCAAAAATATCTTGCACAACAGGCAGATACGGCGGCTAATGAGGCTTCTACTGGGAGGAAGAGTATGTTGAACTCGTGCAAAAATATCTACTGGGATTGTCTACATTGTAGCGATGCTTTCATAAATTTGTATCTTTTGTGGTGGCACGCATGTTGTATAAATAATTAATTATGATCTAGGTTTTAATATGGTATTTATGTCATGTAATGCAGATGAGCCGTCATTGGATGTATAATGCTGATCGCCGCTCCCAAGAGTTCATTGACGGCGTGCATTCTTTGTTACGTGCGGCCGAGGCAAACAAACGCGACGGTTTCATGTGCTGCCCATGTGCCATATGTAAGAATACGGTGGAATATCCTTGCTCAAGGACTCTTCATTCACACTTGTTCAAGTCGGGTTTCATGCCAAACTATATTTGTTGGACAAAGCACGGAGAAACCGGTGTTGTAATGGAAGAAGGTGAAGAAGAACAATGGGACGACAATGATATTATTCCCGATGGTGCGTGCTTCAATGATACCGCAATGGGAGAAGTCAAGAAGAGGTAGCCGCAGAAGATGAGCCGTGATGATCTTTCTCGGGTCATTCGTGACGCACAAAGAGAATGTGAAAGTGAAAAGAGAAGATCAAGTTCGAGCGGATGCTAGAAGATCACAAGAAATTGTTGTACCCAACTTGTGATGCGAGGCGTAAAAAGTTGGGAACCACACTAGAATTGCTGCAATGGAAGGCAAAGAATGGTGTATTTGACAAGGGATTTGGAGAGTTACTAAAATCCAAAAGAAGATGCTTCCAAGGACAATGAATTGCCCGCCACTACCTACGAAGCAAAAAACAAGTTGTCCATCCTATAGGGCTAGAAATAGAGAAGATACATGCATGTCCTAATGACTGCATCCTGTACCGTGGCAAAGAGTACGAGAAATTGGATGCATGCCCAAGATGCCATGCGTCATGATATATAAGATCGGTGAGATGACCTCGTGATGTTGAGGGCGAACGTCCATGGAAGAAAATCCTCGCCAAGGTTATGTGGTATGCTCGTATAATACCACGCTTGAAACGTCTGTTCGAAACAAAGAACATGCAAAATTGTTGTGATGGCACAAAGAAGACCGTAAGATAGACAATATGTTGAGACACCTGCTGATGGGTCCCAAAGGAGAGCAATCGACGAGAGAATTCCCGAGTTTGCAAATGACGCAAGAAACTTAAGGTTTGCTTTAAGTACAGATGGTATCAATCCTTTTGGAGAGCGAGCAGTAGTCATAGCACTTGGCCTCATTACTCTAAGTATCTCGCAACATTCCTCCTTGGTTATGCATGAAGCGAAAGTTCATTATGATGCTCGTGCTCATCCAAGGCCCGGCAAACTCGGCAATGACATCGATGTGTACCTGAGACCACTTATTGATGAACTTCTTATTTTGTGGAATAAAGAAGCTGTACGTGTGTGGGATGAGTACAAACAGGAACACTTTGATCTGCGAGCATTGTTGTTCGTAACAATTAATGATTGGCCTGCTCTAAGTAATCTTTCGGAGACACCAAATAAGGGATATAATGCATGCACACACTTTGCTTCGGTGATATTAGAGGTGTATTCTTGAAAAAAATGTCGAAAGGTCGTGTACCTTAGCCATCGTTGATTTCTTCCTGCAAATCACCCGTAAGAAAGAAAAAGGCAAGCATTTTAAAGGGAAGGCGGACCACCACGACCAAGCCTCGCAAACCAACCGTAAGGATGTACTCGATATGGTCAATGATGTGAAAGTCGTCTTTGGAAAAGGACATGGAAGCCAACTTGTTCGAGCGACGCTAACGGTCACGCACCCATGTGGAAGAAGAAGTCCATATTTTGGGACCTACCCTATTGGCAAGTCCTAGAGGTCCGCACTCGATCGACGTGATGCACTGACGAAGAATCTTTGTGTGAACCTGCTAGGCTTTATGGGTGTGTATGGAAAGCCTAAGGACACATTTGAAGTCTGACGACAGACCTGCGTTGTTTGAGAGAAAGAGACAACTCGCATCCGGAGAAGATGATGATGGACGCCATTACTTACGTCCCGCTAGCTACACTCTAAGCAAAGAGGAGAAGGAAATCATGTTTGAATGCTTAAACAACATCAAGGTACCATCTGGATTCTCCTCGAATATAAAGGGTATTATAAATGTGCCAGAGAAGAAATTCTGTAACTTAAAGTCCCATGACTGTCACGTTCTCATGACACAATTACTTCCAGTCGCATTAAGAGGAATTCTACCTCCAAATGTACGTCTAGCCACCGTGAAGCTATGTGCATTCCTCAATGCAATTTCTCAGAAGGCATTTGATCCAACTGATCTAGCTAAACTACAGAATGATGTGGTTCAATGTCTCGTCAGCTTTGAGTTGGTGTTCCCTCCTTCCTTCTTTGATATTATGACACACCTCCTAGTTCACCTAGTCAAGGAGATTTTCACTCTCGGTCCTGTGTTCCTACACAACATGTTCCCCTTAAAGAGATTCATGGGAGTCCTGAAGAAATATGATCACAACCATGCTCGCCCAGAAGGAAGCATCGCCAAGGGCTATGGAACAGAAGAGGTCATTGAGTTCTATGTTGACTTTATTCCCGACCTTGACTCGATTGGTGTTCCTGAATCGAGACATGAAGGGAGACTAAGCGAAAGGGGGGACACTAGGGAGGAAAACATATATTGGTACGGATGATGATTATTTCAATAAAGCGCACTACACAGTTCTCTGAGAACTCCTCTTTTTGGTAGATCCGTATATTGAGACACACAAGGATCTCTTATGATCCGAAGTTTCGTGGAAGACTGA